GAAGGATTCAGTATCAAACTATCTACTATCCCTGGAGCCGGGTTCGGGGGGTTCCGAGAGAAGTTTATACCGAAACACACAATCATTGGAAGTTACGAGGGGCTCATCCACACCAACCACAAAGACGACGTCCTATACTCATGGCAGGTGAGAGGTCAAAGGTCAGCTGTAAAGTCAGAGTTCTAGGAACTGTTTTAATTAGAAATACACAAACGGGATCAATAATTTATTCAACTTATAACAAAAAACATTATTTTGCTTTACATAATATAACATTTGTTATCAAAAGAATATTTAATAATTTGATTATTATACCATTAATTTTAGGACTGATTTCTTTTTTGCTGTTTAACGTCCCTCTCGAGATTTTTCAATCATTTTTCATTTTATTACGTTTGTGCAACTTAATGTTAACATTGGAAATTAGATTCACTGTTGGAATATGTATACATGAAATAAAAATTCGGGCGAATGTCAAGGAGTGTTGCAAATATCCAGCGTCTCATACGGCAAAGAGATGGGGCTAAAGTCGTCTCAAAATTGTCAACAACATTTTACAGTTCCTGATGTTATTAATTTCTTAACCATGGAGAATCTACGCGCCATTTAAGAGACCCTAATATCGTTGTGCGGAGAATGCCACGCCTCACCTAAAGTCCACGGAAGACAGAAAATTGTACTACATAGTGTTAAATATCTTTTTATTAGGGATGTCAACGAGTACCCGGTTAACCGGGTACTCGATCGAACGTCCGAGTATCGAATACTAAAATCGGTACTCGGTTACTCGGATATATATTTTCAAATATTTCTAAGCTTATATACTAGTATTTATTAATGCATTAAAACATCGGTTGTAAAACGTAAAATGTTCATTGCTCTTGTACATATAGTAATTAGGGTTTCCTACGACTCTAAATGACCGTAATCCCCTGCAGCAGTGTTTATACAGTAATTACTCTGACCAAACACCTGATGTACCTACCTGGTTTTTCTCACCTTCGACTGTCTTCTACCCTAATGTTTAGATTGCTTTAATTATTTGTTTTCATTGAACATCGTTTAAGGTCCATTATATTTTAAATAAATCAAATAATTTTGTCAATTCTCCAAGAAGTCGTAAATTCTCTGGGGAAAGAGAAGACGATATTGCACGTGCGATTGTTGATATGGATGCGTTTGATTACATGCCAGTTAATGCAAATGGTTGAAGGCAAATGCTTTAAAAATGATTTGTCTATCGTTGCTCCAATCTAAAACATACCGTATCGTAATTCTATGAAATCTCAGATCAAAAAGTGTACGAAGATCGTATAAATTTGCTCTGTTATAGGATAACTTGATGAAGTTTATACCGTACATATAGCTCTGACAACTTATCACTTGGACGTCAAACGCATCAAAGAGTTACATTACAATTACCGAACAGAACTAATTATTTTTTAAACCAAAACACTGTGAACTATTTATGATTTTATTTCTCGTATTTATCCGATAAATAAATTGAACTTTAAAAAATGTTAGATTAAAATTTCGTCGGGTACAAAGTGGTCATAATTGTTACAACGCATTTGCAGGTAACCTCCCATAGGTTTATTTCTACAAGTTTACAGTGTTTTACAGTTTTCAATTAACTTGTTCCTATTTATTAACACTTTTACCGAGTACCCGGGTACTCGATCGGAAAAACGTTCGAGTAACCGAGTATCAAAAATTGACCGATTTGACATCCCTACTTTTTATCTATAACATTAATTCTACAGATGGAGAAAATTGGATCTAAAGGAGTGTACGTCATTGACGCCGGAAGTCCGGCTAATAGTAACTGGTTACGTTGGATAAACTGCGCCGGAAACATTGAACAGGAAAACCTGATAGCAGTATCGTGCGCAGGTCTCATTCTCTACATGACAACCAGAGATATCGACCCCGGAAGTGAAATGTTTGTCTGGTATGGTGACGATTACGGGGACTTTCTCAAAATCAGCAGAGTTCACCCAGGTATTTCAGTTCTGGTTGAAGGGCCATTAAACATAGATGAGCTCAATTTTGGGCCCAGACTAACTTTTCAAAGGAATATATTGTGAAAAAGTAAGACTGAGATCAAAATTGAGCTCAACTTAGATCCCTAGGCCTTAGAAAAATACATGTTCACGTACAGGTTGATTTGAATCTACGCCATGATTAATATCTTATTTTTTATCGTTAAAATTACAACAACAAAAAATAATTCAATTTAAGATTTAATTCAGATTTAAGGTCTTTTTATTTCTTTTAAACATTCTAGAGTCGGACCTACAGGGGATTTTCAACATCCGGATCAACGTTCTTTCGTTTGATGACGAGGATCGGACGATATACAGTGACGGAAGTCCGGTCACTTACATGAACTGGGTCCCGGAAGCAGCGTCAGCCGTCTTGGACAACACAGTCGGCCTCGTTCTGACATACAACGGAAGTGAATGGAAATGGTTTCCGGAGAAGGACTATCGATATTTTACTGGTCCGGACGGTCTGCATCTTCCCTTTGTGTGTGAGGATAGAACCACTTATAATGTTGACAGAGTTGTCAATCCTGATTACAAGGAACCTGAGGCGAGAGAGTCGTCTGCTAGTCACGTGGAGTCAGACATTTTAGCGGAACGCGACATGAAACCATTAAATAATGAAGATCAACTGGAACCGGAAGTAGTTTGGGATGGTTCAGTGTAGAGCTTTCTTTGCATTTGCATAAGCACTTCTTAAAAATAATCATTGCAGTTAGATATAAGATTTTTAATTGAAAAACCTCATGTTTACTAGATCCGCGCCGAAAAAAATGTATTCCGTGCAACCCTCAAATAAAGCTTAACAGTTTATTAAATGACCATGAATTAAAATTATGCTACGGTAACCATTCTTCAATAACTTAAACGATGCGAATAATCATTTGGGGATTTATAAATGAATTACCGGTAGTTTTAAGTTTATAAACAAGTTTTCAAAAGAGTACATTTATTTTTATAAATAAACAATTGAAAATACCAGGTATTGTGATTTATTTCTTTTTTCTTTTGCTTGTGTTTACCTGGCCGATTGATGTTTATCAAATATTATTATATACCTAATGTGTATCACCCAATTTTACTGTTGAATTTACGCTATCACGTGACGTCTTGATCCGATTTTCCGGATCACCAACATGTTGTTTTCTGAATCCATATCACCACTCTCTGAAACTGATGACGTAGTACGCAGAAATATGACGTTATTTTTCTTGCACATTCAAAAGTCCCTTGTTATTATGCTTTGTTTAATAGATAAATATTGTACAATTGATCTCTAAAGTTTTATTCTGCTATATTTAGCTAGTTTTAAGGGGGTATATAATAAATTTATCATTATAACAGTAACTTGATCCGAAGAGCCGTATCATGTCTCGTTGACAGGCGCGGATCATAAGATCAAACTCGACGCTTCGCGTCTCGTTAGATCTGATGATCCGCGCCTGTCAACTCGACGTGATACGACCCATCGGATCAAGTTACTGTTATTATATATATATATATATATATATATATATATATATATATATATATATATATATATATATATATATATATATATATATATATATATATATATCAATATCCGTTTCAATCGCCTTAGGGTAGAAAATCAGTGCATGTTATTTAGGTATACGTATCAGCGTTTCATATCATTGAACATGCTGGTCAACAATGACCCTAATTTCCGGTATGTAATGCAAAAATAAAATTGATAAATGAAATATTTTTGAATTTCTGTCAGGATAAATTAACTTTGAACATAATCTGAGGGTTCCAATCTGGTGATTTACAGATTTACATTCTAACATTTACAAATAAAACACTTAAGATTGAGTATTGTAGGAATAGAGAAATTAACGATAATTAAATTGACATGTCAGTAAAATAATCATGACTGCTAAATAATACTTGGCAAAATTAACAATTTCTTTTAAAAGCCCATAAAATTCCTTTTGAGTATCCCGATAGTACGGAAATTGGCCATATAACGATGAAATCTATTTAAAGCTAATTCTTACTGATGGAAAATAATTAATTCACATTTAATCTTCTGTATAAAAAATAAATATGGGAAACAGAATCAATTACAGAAAATAAAGAAATTGAATTATTAATATACCCGATAACTGTGATTAAATGTTCATGTTCAGTTTAATTCATACATGTACGTGTGAAAGCCTTCTTCCTTCAATAAATATTAATTCAATTTGTTTCTATGTGCGTACTGTTCATAAATGACCTTCGCATACATGTAAGGATTCCTGGCATACTACCCAGAATCAATTTCTACTGCCTTTTATAGTTCCATAGTTTATTGCAAATCTTATCTCTGAGTAAGCTCCGCCAATCAAATCAATAAGCACCTGCTAGGACTTCGTTCTGGGATTCTTGGGACTGCTCTCTGGGACCGCTGGGATTGATAAGACCGCTCTGGGACTGCTGTGGGACTGCTCTGGGACTGATTTGTGTCAAGTTGGATCTGGTCTGTACTATAGATACCTTGTGTTATCATTGATACCTTTGGTTAAAATCTTATATAAGAAACAAATACCCGTGACTTTGATATTGAATACCTTTCGCATACATGTAAGGATTCCTGGCATACTACCCAGAATCAATTTCTACTGCCTTTTATAGTTCCATTGTTTATTGCAAATCTCATCTCTGTTAGCTTCGCCCATAATTAATAGGCCCCGCCCACTGGGACTGCTGGGACTGATGGGACCGCTCTGGGACTGCTGTGGGACTGCTCTGGGACCGCTGTGGGACTGCTCTGGGATTGCTGTGGGACTACTTTAGCAGTCCCAGAAAACAGCCCCCAGGTCTGTTCTGGGTCTGATTTGTGTCAAGTTGGATATGATCTGTGCTGTAGATACCTTGTGTTATTTTTAGTACCATTGGGTAAAATCTTATATACGAAACAAATACCCGTGACTTTGATATTGAATACCTTTCGTTATCTCCATACCATTCTTTTACAAATTGTATTCAGCTTTAATGTACTAATCTTGTCTGTCTTATATACTGCATAATCTTGTAATTAGCACAGCTACTATGACATGAAAAAAGCTAAGCTTTAGCCATATTTTTCAATTATAAATGAATCAAAGGGAGAACCATGTGTCGGTGTACTTTCTTCTTCTTCTTCATGACTAAATGCTGTTTTCGTAATGCTAGTTTAGAATAGGAGGGATTTTGATTATTAGAATCGGTTGTATGTTGTCCCTATCAAGATTTTTTTCACACACATAAGGAAGTTTGTTTTGTTTAGAGATATGAAGTTTACAAAGAAATGAGCTTTAATTTATCATCATTTATCAATTGATATTTAGAATGAGACAGGATGCACGTGAATATACCACAATGAAAATATGCTAAGATTTAACTCATATTTATCCCAGTTTACAATCGTATACTACAGATAATAAAAAGTCAGCTATAATCAATTGTAGTTATCTGTATGGAATACTTGGTTACCCTGATGCTTAAATTTACCATACATAAATTCAAATAATAACTTAAAGGAACACAATGTTCATCATATACATTTTAATTAAAAGTACAATTTGAGTAACTACAATGAAAAACAATGTCAAAGTTAGTCGACATCCGATCTCTTTATGACTCTTCTGATGATAATGTTGGCCCAGTCCTCTTTCAACTTCCTATGAATTCATAAAGGTTTTAAATTGCATTCTGATTGAAAATAACTGAGAAATATTAAAATGAAATGAAATAAAAAAGTTACTTATGACATTATGTTGCTTAGACTGTGCACACTAACTGAAAACATGGCATGATTTGATATATTCTTACTTCCAACGATTCGATTCATGTGATTAATTATGTCTGGAAGTTCACGTTGATCTTCATTCACTGCAAAATATCCTTAGAATTGAAAAACAGTTTGAAACAAACAAAATTGAAAAGCAACTTTTAGATCATTCTGTTTCCATGTTTAAATGCATTGTTATTCCGACGCCAGGTAAGGATTTTAAAACAGACTTAGACTTAAGTCAAAATTCCAATCATCTGTAAAATGCTTATTAATTGCAGAGTTGAACCTATTTCAATTTTGATCTTTATGACTTGAACAAAATTTAAAAAAAACATAAATATTTGGAATTGATTCTTAAGCTTCTTCATGATTGCATAAAGACGCCTGGAAATTGCTTCCTATCCACAAACTACTGATCATCAAGAAAAGATAGAGAGAAAGATTTGATGAATATCAACACTTGATTAAATATAAGTGGAATACTGCATAACTAACATTAAGTAATCTGCATCAAATATTATTAAAAAAAAATATATAATGGAGACAACTTCCTTCAACAGACATCTTATGTTTAGACATATTTTTTATCTTGATATATAAACAAGAACTTTCCAAATATAGGACTGTTAATTGTTCTATTATATCCAACCGTTACTAGTATTCAAATTTGAAATCTGGATCTGCTAATTTTTTTTTTTATTTTGTCTCCTTTGAATTTTTTTCTGTTTCATGCATGTAATTTCTAATTAAAGATGGATTAACTGTCAGTTGTGCTATTATATCCAACAGTTAAATCTGAAATTTAGATTCTTTTTTTTTATTTTGTCTCTTGTGTATATGTTTATTTCTGCTTTAATATACATGTTTAACTCTCTAAATATAGTACTGTCAATTGTGGTTTTATACCCAACAGTTATTCAAATTTGAAATTGGGATCTGCTATTCTTTTGGAATTTTTGTCTCATTTGTATATATTTTTCTGTTTAAATATACAAACATGAACTCTATGAATATAAGACTGCCTTTTGTGCTGTAATAATTATATGTTATTCTTCATTGAGAAAAGTAAAATTTCTTATTATAGTGAAATTTTATCGCATTTCAATAGTTATCATAGCTTTACTGACAGGTAAACACATTGTGTTGAAATTAAATATCAAATGTAAAATTGGAAAAGCAAAATTCCACTCATCTTTATACACTAGAGAAAGCAATATAGAGCCCTAGAGGAATAAGGTGCTTTCAAATGATATTTACCCAGCGGATTCCCGCGCCTGGTCACAGATTTCTTTCTATAACCAGACTTTCTGGTACCATAGAACCAAGCCTCGGAGAAGGACAGACACAGCTGCATATAGATCTAAAGATATAGACATACACATATACATGTGTAGATTTAAAGATTAAACATACACATAAAGATCTAAAGATATAAACACACACGTATAGATTTGAAAATATAAACATACGCATAAAGATCAAAAGATATAGACATACAGATATAGATCTAAATATATAAACATGCATATACAGATCTAAAGATATAAACACACACATTTAGATCTAAATATAGAAATATAAACATACAAATATTTTTTTTTCTTTCAATGACAATGCTTGTTTCAAATTTTCTTATATGACATAACATAACTTTGTGCAGTTTACGCTTTATAAATTGCCCCAAGTTATGTTATATCGTACAATATAGGAACTAAATATATGCCTTCCGATCGAAAGAAGCCAGAACCCACCAACCTACTTTTATACAACAATATTCGTCTTACCAGTGAGACATCAATAATTATAACTGTGACTGATTTCCATTACAAATCCTTCACACGATGCATATGCTTGAAAGAGAACAAATGAGCTTTTGAATGTTTGCG